CATAAAAACACAACAGTCTCTCGTCGCTCTCTGAAGCCTTTGTGTGTGTGTGTGTGTGTGTGTGTGTGTGTGTGTGTGTGTGTGTGTGTGTGTGTGTGTGTGTGTGTGTGTGTGTGTGTGTGTACGTATGCGTGTACGTACTATATAACTACTTTTATAGGCTTGTGTACGTGTACGTGTACGTTTGTGTGTGCGTTTGCATTTGCGCGTGTGCATGTGTGCGAGCGTATGTGTGTGCGAGCGTGTGTGTGTGCGAGCGTGTGCGTATGCGCGTGAGTGTGTGCGTGTGCGTGCGTATATTTGTGCATTCGTCACCTGTTCGTCACCTGTTCGTCACCTGTCAGTAACACCTGTCTGAATCCGTGCCTCCCCTCCTCACGCCGACATTCTTTGCCGCCTTAAACAAGCTCCTCCGCGTGTTGGAATTTCACCCTTGCGGCCGAAACACGCCGCTTCTGTAGCGTAAAGTGTGCTCTGAAGGAGACCCGAAAGGCAGTTCTCGGGATGACGACCTTACAGCCAACAGATACCAGCTGCAGAGGCTCATAAAAACGGGTCTGAGAGACGCACATGTGTGATGCCCTAATAAAAATAATAAAAAAAGAAAGAAACAAAAAAATGATAGTAACAACAACATCAACAACAACAACACTAATAATAATGATAAAACTACAAGACAAACACTAACAACACAATAACAGCCACTCTAACAAACCGTTCAAAAACACAGGTATACACACGAATACGTCTTCGGGAAAAACAACAACAGAAAATGGAGCATCACATCTGAATAAAAACCTCGTTTCAACCTAACAGACTTACAGGCGTTGCGGCGGCGAGAAGGCTGTTGTGGGAGATTCCTATTATCTGATAATGAATAATTTAGGATCCTTCGTCTCTGTCTTTGCCTCTGTCTCTTTCCCTGTCAAGACCTGTTTGAGGGAACTATTTTTTTTTTCATTCGTTTCTTCTTTTTTTTTCTTTTTTTTTTTGCTTTATTTTTTATTTCCAGGTACAAATTCTCTCGTTCTCATTCTCCGTCTTGTTTCCTAGTTTTCTCTCTATTTTGCATTCTGTTTTTTGCCTCTCTCGCTTATACAGACTCCCTTTCACCCAATTTCAATTCTCCATCTCTCTCTTTGTCTTTCTTTCTGTCTCTCTCTCTCTCTTTCTCTCTGTCTGTCTCTCTCTCTCCATCTCTCTCTGTCGCTCTCTCTCTCTCTGTCTCTCTCTCTCCTTCTTTCTCCTCTCCCTCTCCCCCCCCTCTCTCTATTTTTCTTTCTTTCTCTCTCTCTCAGATATACTTGCGAATTACGTCAACGGATCCAAGACGTA